TACAATAAAATTTGAATTAGTTATTGATGATATCTACAGTCTCAATAGTTTTTTCGGATATCATTCTCTCTGATTAATTAAAAAAGAACAAGTGGAAAAAAATCAAGTTCTATTGTTTTCTCCCTATTGATTTAATATAGATGAAAGTATAACTGAATATGCACTTGCAAGTTATCAATTTATATATATGATGATTGACATATCTTATTTCTAACAATAGTTTTTATATGTGTGTGATTATAACAATAAAGAATTATTGATAAAAAAATAAATAAAAATAGTTTTGTTTTTATCTTCAATATAAAACGATAGACTACGATTTATTTATACGCTAAGTACAAGATATATATGAATGATTCACATTAACGAAGAAAAATATATTTCGCAGTTGTTTTCTTATATATAAATATATATTTGTTGCACTGAGATAAATTACCTACAGTGACGTCAATTACTCATAATCAGAGGTTATTACATACAAAAAAAATATTATATTTTTTTTCTTTTTACTCTGAGCCTTTTGCTACTCCATTGTATATGTATAATATTTATTCAACCATTACATATTATGACGTGACTAAGCTATAAAAGCATGGTCTATACTTGAAAATATATATATACGTGCAAGATTTTGAAAAACAAATATTGTATACAAGTTATAATTCAATAAAGTTGAATAAAATTTACGTATTGGAATGGCTTTACCAAAAGAGTTACCACTATATATCGTTGGAGCTCTTATTATTATCTTTGGCATCATACATCTAGGTGTTGGCATTGGTATTACTGCCGGGTATTCTAAATACAGTGACGTAACTCGACAATCAGTAGGCTTATCAATATTCAATATTATTGTTGGTCTTTATGCTATGGCAGTTGGAATACTATCGCTGGTTGCTGTTACAATAAAACTCTATCATATAGGTAAATATGTCGGTTGTAAAACAAACCTTAATAAAGATATAATTTTTGTTTAAAGTTCGACCTGCTGCTATCTGTTCACTTGTGCTAGGTATAGTTGCATTGGCGTCACTTATTGCTGCATTAGCTCTTAATTCTCAAGCAATTGGTTATGTAAGATCACGTTTATCATATCGTCTATATTCATATGCTTCAATCGATGGTTCCCAGGGTGTTATGGATACGATTCAAACAAATTATCATTGTTGTGGTGAAAATTTATGGCTTGATTGGGCAACTGTTTCATTATCTGTTCCAACTGTACCAGTGGTCACCTCAGGCAGTAAGAACAAAACAATTTAAAAATATATAATACAGAACTACGATCTTTGTTATTTTTAATAGTTGGCAAGAAACGTCGTCGTCGTAGTGATCATGAACAATCGTATGCAGAACAAAGTCCATTGTTACAAGGTGTTCGTCAAAGACGACAAGCAACAACAGTAAACTCTGGTTCATATAATTTACCTTCCGGTTATAGTATTAATTTACCGTACTCTTGCTGTAAGACTGGAGGAATAGGAAATTCGGGTAATTCGATCGGTGGAAGTAAGTCTCTTTCATTCAGTCAATAATGTTAACATATAAAATTCTTTATATAGCTTGTGTGTACAGTTCTAGCAACAATACAAATAGCTTTTATGTGGGCGGATGTTTAGCACCTGTTTCCAATGATGTTGTTGTTCAAATAACAGGCATAGCTGTTATTAATGTCGTTTTGACTATTCTTGCTTTTGTA